CTAATAGACTCAGTCAAAACAATGAAGAAAATTATCTTCCCGACTTTAGCTGGCATCAAAGATTGAGCTGACCCAATTATTTTTGCCCTCAGTAAAACTGTTGGGCGGAAAGCTTTGTTTTGTTTTCGTTTCTTTCTTCCTGTAAAATATTGTGCAATGCCATTTCCAAATTGTGACCAAGATGACAAGAAAATTTTCCTACAGTGAACTTTGCTCTCCAGCATCTCTGGGAAACAAACAATTCCAGACGACAGTAAGGGAGTTATCTCAGCCCTCTGCGGCCGTCGCTTGCCCAGTCCAGCTGTTCCTTGGTCCTCAACTAGTTGTCAGACCAATTTTAGGACAGTTTAGTAAGTTTGGGACTGTTTTGATTTGTGCTGCGATCACGTGTTGCAAGAGCTCATGGGAAGATTATTTGCATGCATCTTGGTGCAAAGAGTACCAGTTCCAAGATAAAATAAAACATTTCTGGAGAAGCAGACAATACACAAATGCCTCCATACAGCAAAATGTGCATAAACTGTGCTCTCACTGGAGCTCATCAGCACAGTCCAGCTGGTTTTTGTTTACAGTGAGGGCAATGTTTTCTCTTACTGGAATAAGTACGGCCAGTCTTTTGCAACAAACACGAGAATTCTCAAGAGCTCTTTCAACAAATATTTAGAAGGTTATGGCGTGATTAAGGGGAAAGCTAGCACTAAGCTATGAATCTGAGGTTGAATTTCAGCTCCTCTGTTAAGAGCCAGGCTGATATTTTGATTTCTGCTTTTGGTGCATCTCTAGCAAATGCTGTGCTGTTCTGCAGATCGAGCTGTGAACACAATTAGCAATATTTTTTGCTCAGCTATCATATTCATCTTTCAAACTTATGAAAGGACAAATAATGAAAGTCTTAAGTGAACTCGTTATTCGCTTATTAATAGTAATGTATTTTTTAATAAATAATTTTTATCTGTATTTTATCAAAACAGGGAATGGGGAATATTAATACTATATACCTGATCTATAATTTGAGCCATACTACTTACTCATTAGAACAAGAAGAGAAAAATAATTGAAAAGGGGAGGAGGACAAAGACAGAGAAAGTGAAAAGGCCAGTATAGAAATTGCGAAATTTTAATTACAATTTTCTTCTTTTTCCCCCTCAATGCTTTGTTCTTTTCCTTTTTCTCTTTCCTCATTTTGCTTCCTTGCTATCCGGGAGAATGTGGATAGGGAAAAACAAATGTTTTCGTTTTTTCTGAAAGTAGTATCGTCTTTTCATAAATACAGAAGAAAAATAATATTTTTAAAAGAACAATAAAAATAAATTATTCTCAACAAAATGTAAATTCACAAAAAAAAAAAGCCCACTTAATTGAAACATTTCAGCCAGCTTTCACATTTGTGGGCTTTGAATAGTGGAATATCTGAGTAAAACAAACATATAAGGGCTATGAAGATGCACAGATTTAAATTTATATTCATATATAAATTGTATATATATATATAGTATTGGGGGAATTGTATATATATCTAGTATTGGGGGAATAATTTGGTGACTTTTAAACTTTTTAATTAGTTCTGATTACTGCTGTTTGTCAAAATGATATTTTTGTACAACTCTGTACATCTTCACCACAGTATTTGTTAAAGAGATAATGTTAAAGAAACAGGATAAAGCATCCCCTTTCAGGGCTGTAGGAGTTCCTACGGAGGTGAGGGTAGCATCTTTCATAGGCTTCTTTGTTATTATGTGAAACTGTCTTGTTTCCGAGAACATCAGTCCTTCTTCTGAGATTAATGGGGCCCGGATAACATTCATCAGCAGCTGCAATCAGGAAGGTTCAGATCACAATATTGTCAAGTCTGAAGATTTCATCCTGACCATTACGGTATTTGTTCTTTTTTCTGAAAGCTCCTGCTTCTCAATTTTCATTCAAAAGCAACTAAGCTTCTTGGTCCTCCAGGATAAAGAGAAAATTTGGAAAATGTGAGTTTCTAGAGTCTCAAAAGGTCAAAGGTCAAGTTAGAAGGTTACAACCTTTCAGTAACACCCTGTACACCCACGTTTTTGATCTTTGAGGAATCTCTGAATTACTGGCTTAACAATACTGAACCTGTGAACTTCTTTCAGTTGTGAACAGATATTCAAACAGGTTAAGCTATTAATATCAGTGAGTCTAACATTCATTTGAAAGAAAACCCTCTAATGCAACTTTGATAATGTACATAATTTTTTGTTAAGATAAGAGGGGAAAGATAAAGAGCTGTTCCATGGATGTATTTATCTCACGTTCAATTAGAACATGTCCTTTCAAGGAAAGATTTTCTTCTCTGTACTGTAAAATAGGCCCGGATTCATCATTTTGAAAGAAGCCTTTTGGGATTCGTCCTATCTTCATTTTAACCCTGTAAAGTTTGTATTTCTTCCTTGACTTTCAAAAGATTGAATCCATATGTTCAAAAGTGTGTATACTTTAAGATACAGACTGTCAAAAAAAGAGGGGAAAATCCATGAAAACAATCTATGTAAATGTACAAATGTATGGGAAGCTTCCTAGCTATTTGGGAAAATGGATCATTAAATGACAATCAATTTGAACGGGTACGGAGTTTCTAAAGTGTCAACTCATAATGAAGTTAATTAGATATATGTGCCTCAACATTTTTGTGAATTGAACCCTTAGCAGCTTTTGGGGGATTTTAAGATCTGAGCCAGAATTTAGTATTTAATTTAATTTGATTGAAGTCAATGGAAAAACTCTGAGGGCCTTTTAAGCCAGGCGTGGGTACCTTTCCCTTGCTCTGAGTGAAATAGATTTCTCAAGCAACTAGTAAGCACCCCACATACGAGCACACTCTGTAATTGTGACCATGAGTCATATAAAATGAAATCTCAAGCTGTGTCTGGTCCATAAGATATAGATTCCCTGCTTCTGCTTTAGGAATTGATCAATGACAGAGTGAATTTATCGTGGAGCATTAAAAGAAGGTCTCTTACCATGGGTGGCTGAAATTAGACAGCTATCTCAAGGTCTCCATCTCCTTTTCCCCTTGGTACCACATTTACTGAAACAACAAGCTCTTCAGGGTAGAGGCTTCACCTTTTCAGACGTGTTGGCCTTTCCAAATTGAGTGTAAATGGGCAAATTTTTGAAGTGATAAAGCGCCTGCAATAACTATTAAAGTCAAAGGAATCTGGAGGAGCTCAGCATTTGTTTTAAATCTTCACTTGTGTTTAGGTTTCTCAGAATCAGGTGCAGTCTGAGGAACCCAAAGGGAGAATTTCAAAAGCACCTTTATTATAGTTAGGAGCACAACACCACCTCAGAAGTCAGTAGAATCTCTGCTTCTAAATTCCTGGGTGGTCTATAAAAAAAGAGAAAAAAAAGGAAAAAGAAAGAGAGAGAGAGAGAGAGAGAGAGAAGGCTGGATTTCAAACATTTTGCCTTCAGAAATGCTGAAGGATATCACACTTTGATTTACTTACACTCAGTCAAAGAAAGGTGTTGATTAGCCCCAGAAAACACAGAGAAAAATGAAGGAGGGTCCTAAAAGGAATATGGTAAAGCCACAGAGGTAAAGACAGCTTTCAGGGCTTCGGTAACCACAGTCGATATATCTTGCTGCTAAGGGGCAGAAGAGTGAAGCAAGCTTAAAATGTAGGTGGGATAAGGAAAATAGAAAACTGAGCTGCTCACAAAAGGTGTTCCAATGACAGCTGAATGAATGCAAATGTCAACATCATATCTGAATTGCAGCAGAAACTTCTCCTGATCATGCTCAGTGCAGTCCCCAGCTCTGCATACATCTAGTTGGAAGCCAGTAGTTTAAGTATATCACCGTTGATTTATACCAGATATGGTCAATTACTGATGCTAAAGCCTTATTCACAGTTTAGCCCACAGCAAAATGTTAGAATTCATGCCCCCAGCATCACTGCAGTCAGGGCGGTCTTGGGTTGCTGTTATGTCAACATGATGAAAGTGTTGCAGATTTGCCTTTAATACTGCTAAGTTACTCTAAAAAGCAGAGGATTTAACAAGAATGTAGAATTGCAACTCAGTGAGAAAGCATAGCATTTCCTTAAAAAAAAAAAAATCAACAATTTAATTTTTCCGAGCTCTGGAGCCTGGACAAGCTTAATTAAAATCAATAGAACATACTTTTTTATAAAATCTGCTTGTATAAAATAAAGCATCTTATAAAAGATGCTTGTTGTTAAGTAAAGAAAATTGTAAGGCGGCAAAAATTATGACAATAGTCTGAAAAATAAAGCTCTGTAGGTGGAACTAGAGGTACATAACTGAATAACTTGCTGCTGTGAGAAACGGGGTTAGGTACGGGATGGTAGCGGGGAGGAGCGTCAAAGACACAGTGGAAGGATAATGCCGGAAGTCAATGCAAAGTAATACCAGGAGATAATAGCTGCAGCCCATATTGTTCAAAGAGAAGGGAGTTAGGCATAGATATACTGTTGAAATTAAATTTCAGCTGAGTCTATCTTCTTTTCATTAGGGCTCTGATAGTTATTGCTTTTTCTGTTTACCCCTTTTTAGAAAAAATGCAATGTTTGACTTGATCGGAACTGAGATAATTTTTTTTTTGCTTTCTTGTTTAAAGTCAAACAAAAGGCTTGCCTTGTCTAGAAACACAATGTTTTCTTTTCAAATGAAGGCTTGAATCAGAAAAGGGAGAGTAGCTGAGTCCCTTCTTTCACTGATGTGCTCAGAGGTTAGATATTTTGGTTCACTTTCCCTCCTCATTGATCTGAATCAGCCTGTCCCTCCACTTAGGAAAATAGCTTGTCCGTTCAGTACAGCGTGCTGAAGTCACCTGCTCTCCATTCCTTTGTTGGTTTGAGCCGCTTGTAAAAATGACATTTTCAACGGACTCCAGGAAAAACTAGCAAACAAACGCACCTCCGTCATGCTGATGTCTGGGCTTCCCATGAGGAAGTCACATATATGTGTCACAGTTCCCATCCTAATTCATGTTTAATTACTTTAAATTACAGAGCAGAACAGTGTCCGCACTGAAATAACAGACTCCTTGGACAAGGTAAGTGGCCAAACCAAGAAATGCAATTCATCTGAGTAGGCCGATTACTGAGTCACAGATCCTTTGGATCAGGGTCATCAAGACAAGATGAGAGTGCATATTGCACTTTTTTAAGAAAACAGATGTTTCAGAGATGAGGAGAGCACAGAACTGGGAATCAAGGCTCAGCAGCAAGAAAAGGAAGAGAAGACGGTCTTAGCTACCGTGTAGCAAAAGTAGAGATCTACTGAGGTGTGAGCGTTGGGGTGGGGAACCCAGCTGGATGAACAAGCTCTGCAGGACTGCCCCAGGGTTTCCCCAGGCCACTCACAGAACAGGTGGACTAAGCCTTGGGCAGCCAGTTAATGTTTACTTTCAGCGCAAGACCATTACACCGCTAGAGAGGAGACAAGGAGGCATTGTTCTGATGTGGGAAGAGCTGGACCAGCGAGGTGCAGAGGTTGGATGATTTTTTCAAGAGAAACTTAGCAACAAAGGAGTTGGGAACCAGTTGACTTGGATTATGAAATAAAGCGTTGAGTCGGGAAGGAAGGACAGAGAAGTGAGGCAATAGTCTTAATTACTGGCGAGACTGAATTTACTGTTAACAGATATACTATAGACGTCATATACATCGTAACTCTGATTTCAAAATTCACAGATTGTTCGTTGCTGCATGTTGACTCTGCAGCGTTGAAACCCAGGACACATGAAATCTGAATCCAGCAGGTCTAGGAATTGAGAAGGCTTTCAAAGATGCATGCCTCTCCTTTTTGCAAGGGGAGAAACTGTCATCCTCTCCGAAAACATCAAATGAGAGAAGAGTGCCTAAGGTAAGACAATCTTATTCAGATTAATTCATCTCCTCGTAGATAATGGAGCTAAAGTTAGCTTGAATTTTACATTGTTTCAGAGATCACCATAGACTTGCAGATCTATAAAACTACTTTTTATTGCCAAGCTCATCTTGAGATACTTCAGATGGGTTACTCTGAGAAATTTCAATACCTATATTGACATGACCAAACACAAAAGTCCCAGAACAGTTTACCTGCAAGTGTCTACACATCTGCTAAGAGTCTAAGCTCCTGAAACAGTAAAAGGAGATATAATTAAGGCAGTCAGTGGATTCTAGAACTCAGTTAATTTGCCTAAACAAACAAATATTTTGCCATTTGATGATCCCTAGGGTATTCCGCTTGGCTCATAGTTGCTGTTGCAAAAGGACTTGAATCTCCTGCAGGATCTGTGCCACGCCTATCTGGTCTATGCAAATGTCTCAAATGTTTTAAGATGTCTCCCTCTCTGAGATTACATCTGTATTTCTCAAATTCTCAACTCACCCTAAAGAAGTTATCTAGGGCAGCATCCAGTTGCCCTATGTCATTTTAGATTCTGAGGAATGTCTCGCTTGGTTTCTGGCCGCTTCTTCACAAGGGTGTTGTCTCCCCAAAATCCTATGTCACACATGCCAGTCCTGTTCAAATACCTAAGGCATTTCAAAATGACCTAGATATTTTAACATCAGAAAATTTAAACAGTTGGATTCTACACTGAATGGTTGGTGAGCTAAATAGCTTTCTGGATACAAAGTCTGTTGATTGTACATATCAGGAAGTTATACATTTAGATCACATGTAGACACCCAAATTTAGATATTTTAATCTTAATTGGGATCCCACCCTGGGAGTCACTGATGAATCATTAGCATTGTATATGTAAACTTTAGCATGCTGACTACCAGAAAAAATCCTTTTCATTCCCTTTTCCGGCAAAGATCATGTTTCTGACAAATTGATCTCTGCGAAGAATGCAGATTTTGAAGCATAAAGGCTAAAAAAAAAAAAAGGTTCATACAGCACATCATGAATTTCTTAGCAACAGTAGTGGACATATATTGCAGGTCAAGGGAATCTTGTAGCCAAAGTTCCTCTGAAGCAGCCCATTGCATTCCTGGCGATGGATGGCAAACCGGTCTATGTTAGGAAACTGTTTATCAGTCCTACTTGTTTGCACCTTGTCTTAGAGCAAAGCACCCTAATCAAAAATGTGCATTTTTTTCTGGAATGCCAAATTGCATAAGTTTGCTCTATAACCATCTGCCAATGCAAAGCTCCTTTGCCTCTGGCAATACCCATTGCATTATCTAGACACTTTCAATGAGTACCCAACACATCGTTCACAGATGGACACTTTCCCTCTTCTTTCAAATATACTTAGCAGATACTGAAGAAATGAATCCTGGATCTATCACTAGTTCTTTCTAGCTACACGTCGGTGTCAAATGTCCCATTACAGATGAAGCTGTCAAACAATCTAGCTGAAGTCAACTATTAACTTGTAAATCAAAGCCAATGTTTTGGGTTCAGGTCAGGGCATGGAGCTGGAAGCATTCGCTAGCACTGATGTATTTGTCCCCGTGTCAGAGGTCAGAAAGTAAACACCTATACTCATCTACTGAACCATTTGGAAATGTTGACCCTGAGACACTACTACCCCATATGAGAAATTAGGGTCAACAACTTTACTTTTCTGGCACAATGACATTCCTTACAGTCTATCTAAAATTAGATTCAGCAAAAGACACTACTGTTCTGGGGGCTACTCTTAATCTATAGAATGAACTTGTTCATAGACCATCACAAGCAACTTTGCAAATACTCAGCGAACAAGATACCTTTCTTTAACAGTACCTTTTGGAAAACAAGAATTTAATAGCAGAAACAAAACTGAAACTCTACAAAAACAAAATACTTCCCTGTACATTCTTTTTCTTCTCTGTAGGAGATGAGAAGACAAAAACATCCTGACCATGAAAAGAAATCAGATAAAGACCTCGATAGAATAGAATAGAATCTATTTGGACTTGGATTGATATAGGAATGAGAGTCTGAATTTGAGGGATAGCTGTGGTCTTGGAACAAATTATGAAAGAGGACATTATTGGAAGAAGGACGCAAGTAGCTTTCAAAGAGAGCTTTGTAATATTTGGAAGAATAAAAGAATCATCCGATACTTAACCAAAATGAATTGAGCTTCCCATCCTTTTGAGGTTTGTCTGTCTCTAGCCTTAGTTACTGTGAAATTCCTTGACAACAGTAATAAAGCATTTACACTGAGAGTCTTGACTTGTGCCCACCTGGAACATTCTTCTTCTATTGACTTAGAAAGCTTTGGGGGCAAAAATTGTGTGAAGCAATGAGCCTATTCAAATTTAGACAAAGGGATAAAGCATACAATACTAGAGACATATTTTCCCTTTGCCTATAAAATGTTTCAAGTGAAAACTGCTTCTTTCAACACTGCAGACCTTGTGGGAAATGACCTGTACACTGGATAAGTTGACAGGCACAGTAGGGGATTTCATTACACCTCAGAATTTGACTGGCACAACCAGCTCTCTCTGGCTCTCTGTAACCCCTGGCAAGTGCTCGGAATTGAATCTGTAAATGTTAATCAATATTTCAGGCCTATTAAATAAAGAAAGGCATTGTGGAAATCAAAGCACTAACAGCTAGCATGGTGCTATACAATGACTTCCAGGCCATCAAAAACCTTGTAGGGAGCAAAAGAGCAAATATTTTAATAAAACAATTACCTCCACAGTTTCAAACCTGCAGAAGAATGTTACATCTCCAGCGCTCTCACGCTAACTTAATTTTCATTTCAAACAGGTCAGTGAACAGGAGCAATTCAATACAGATATTCAATGAGTCATTAAAAAGCTATCCTAAATCTTTGGGAAAGGAGAAGACCATGATGTGTTTAAAACATCTGCAAATACGTCACTTTCTTCTCAAAGACGAAATGGGCCAGAACTACACCCAACACCTAAGGGAGTTTCACCACTGATTTCAGCTGATACAGGCACTGAGTGAGATTCACGGGTAGGGTTAACATAGCTTTAGATATCCACAGCATAAGCAGCTGTGGTTGAGCTGGTGGCTTGAGGCTCACTTTGCAGAGAAATGAGAACTTTTAGGGTGCAATTTGTTTTGTGCTAAAGCCAATGTCTAGAATAAGTCAAATGAATTGCACCTTAATGGCTCCTGGTCTCTGAAGTGATGACAAAGAGAGCCACAGGTAGCCAAAGCAAGTGAGCAACAGATATGTAAAGTTAGGTGACGTGAGTCACTGTGTACCTATCTGTCTAGTGGTGCATAGACGTAAATCAGGCTGCAAAAGGCAAGTGTCTCTGTGCTGTCCCCTGGCTAGTGTGAAAAAGGGTAACACTGGAATTTACTACTTTAGCATAAAAGTTAGAGGCTTTTGACTCTATTAGAAAAGGCTCTGGGTTTAAACTAGAACTACACAAAGCATAAAGCAAAAATGTTAAATATTTAAACAATTTTAAAGTATTTCCCTATGATGAAGTTTGAAATGGATCTATATCAAAAACCCACTAAATGGAAAAAAAAAAAGATTTTTAATTCTTCCTCAATAAAAAACAAAACAAAAATCCAAGTGTCCAGCCACAAGGTAGCGACTTGCTGCAGTATGAAGTAGCAACCCTTGGATCCTTTACATTCCCAGTAGATGTGGGAGCTAGATGCAGCTATAGCTGAGACAAGATACTGTTCGTTGTACTCTGCCTCTGAGAAAAGAAACAGTCTCCAATTTGCTCCAGAATTTAGGGAGAACCAGGAACTGTGACCAAATACTAAGGCAAGTTATAGGTAATAGCAAGTGTTCGATGTGCTGCGGAGCAAACTGTCTCTGGCAATAGTAAATTGTCATTTTTCTGCAAGGTCACCACTGAGAAAAGTTGAGAACAAGTGGAGAAAATTTGATATTCTGTCAAAATTGCTCTAAAAAATTGATACTGCTGGAAATTTTTAGAAGGTGATGTGGTTGCTGCGTACATCCCATTATGAGCAGAAGACAAGAGAAAGCTAACATGTCTTTGCTGCTATTATTTTGAAAGGGAATATGCTAAAAAGGAAGAATGCTGTTCTTATGTTTTGATGCAATGAGAAAAGCAGAGCCATTGGTGACTGCTGGACATCTTGTGTACCTGCTGGATACCTCTGCCATGCTGTCTCTGGTAACAGTTTCATCGTAAACTTGTTAAGAATTTCCTTGGTTGACTACCCAGAGCAGCATGAGAAAGTGCTAAAAATCCTCTTATGTCCTACTTATCCAAGAAAAAATTTCTAAAGTTGAATTTTATGGTAGATCTTGTTCCGTTCCTGGGAATGGCCCTAGTGAAAGCAGTTATTGTGTTCAGTGAGTTTTGGGGCATTTCTTGAAGGTGGAAAGAAATGTCAAGGTTTGCTCAAAAGGTCTGCAAAACTCAAGTAGTGATTTTTTGAAGGCAAGAGAGTTTCTGTCTGTCTATTTGCCTCTGAAGTGTTGCATGTGCCTGAGGCTTTGAGCCATCTTACACCTTAGAGAAGCTGATTCTCCAGGAAGTATAGCCAAGGCCTTTGGCGAATGTGAGAGGGTCATTCACAGTTGCTGGTCACAACCAGTGGTCAGGAATGTAGCTCATAGGACATTGCACTGGTCATCTAATCCACTAGCTCCTCCAAACATGCTGTTTACCCCAGGCCCTGGGATGTTATGGCCATGCTAATCCGTCCTTGAAGGAATGTGAAGCTGTGGAAAGCCACAGACACTGACAGAATGGGAGATCCATACTGGAGATCTCTACAGGGGCTGTGGTCGCATTCATAGGAGCCCTGCAAACCTCCTGCCTCTGAGCCTACGCACAGCCAAAGGGTCAGAGAGAGATAGATGACATACTCTTCCCTGTCACTGTCCTCAGCCTCTGACACTCTTAGGGAAACATAAATCCTAATCATTTTCTTTCATTTCATTCTCATATTCTCTC